GAAAGAGAAATAGAATTACGTTCTACCCTTACCGACGTCAGCGTCAAAAGGCAAGGAACTCGACAAAAAGTTCTTCATTTTAATAAGCTAGATTCTGTCGTGGCAAACCGCACTAGCTCCTATTAAAGAAAATCGCAGAACTGTCACAGCAGCTCGGCTACTTCTCCGCCACTTTCGCAACGCATCCAGCTGATATTCGCCCTCGTAAACAGCAATTGGATGACTAATAACATTCTAATCTGCTGGTCGAAAGAGCCATCTTTTTCAATTCGTTGCCCCTCCCCCTTTGCCAGGGGAGCGACAGCTTCGCCATCTGCAGCTCAACTAAATTTCAATTTAACGTTGCGTGCGAGCTGATAATATTAGATAATAAATACACTGTGTACGACGGCATTCGAGGGCATTGGGTATGGAATGTGCATTGTGCAGGGCAAATCCAAGCTCTGTTTTGGCCTTATAATCGAATTCATTTTAATGCTCGAGCTTGTATTATCGATACGATATATTATCGACGGTCATAAAGCTTAAAGCTTTCTAATCATTTGCGATCAAAGCTAACAGCTTCGGCCGCTGGTGCAATTTTTCATTATCGTCCGACGAATAATCCCTACAAAGCATTTATTCCCTTCTTTTAACCATTTCTTCAGAAATATTGAGCAGAAGTCAATTTCAATTGCTCGCACGGTTTCTGTACGTAATCGTCTCGCCTCTGCGTAACTGACCGTAACGTAACGTCAACATTTCTAAATTTTAATCTGAAAATGATGTTGTTGCATCCGTATCTTCGCGAAGTACGAGATAAAGTCCCTGCAAATGAAGAAGTATGTATTAGAAACAGTTGATCCATTGGCATCTTGCGAAAGCTAAAATGTATGTAGGCATTAGTATTTAAAATTTGGTTTATTTCAAAGATGTAAGTGAAACTTTTAATACAATTTTCATTAGTTTCTGTTAAACGTAGTCAAGTATATAAATGCCACTAATCATTTTTATATAATAAGCTATTAATCTTATCATCTCGAAGGAAAAATTATAATAATTGTTTGTTATTACATATAAGAAGAAGAAGAAAAAATAGTCAATTTTTTCTAAACAATTTACATTTTTTAACGTTACAATATTTTCATATTTTTATGTCTGCGTTACGTATGCTCTTATAAATATTTAATTATTTTACAATTTTGTAGTATTATTTTCGCATTTGATGTGATAATTGCATCAAATATATAATGTAATTTTGTTTCAGTTATCGTCAACAAAATGGAAAAAGCTTATAAATTGAAGTTAGTCAAAGAAGCAATAAAAAGCTATCCAGATTTTCCAAAAACAGGAGTTTTATTTCGGTAATAAGTTTATAATAATAATATGTATTAGCTTTTGAAATTTTATGCGTTGATTGTGAATTATAGCAAATTTTTTTCTTTTCTTTTTTCTTCATTTTTTTTTCAGCGATGTATTTGAAATTTTTCAAAATGCCCAGGCTCTGCAAGCATTAAAAGATCTGTTAGTGGAACACGTGGCTTTACTAGATATTGACATCATCGTGGGTCTGGATTCAAAAGGCTTCTTACTAGGCCCGATAATCAGCTTAGGATTGGCAAAGCCATTTATCCCAATCAGAAAGAAAGGAAAACTACCGGGTAAAGTTTTTCGACAAAACTATACCCTGGAATACGGAGAGGTTGTTATAAATTGTTGCCTAATATTGTACTTTGTTTCGACAGAAGCGAGTATCGTCTATTATCATCTAGCTTAGAATGTAAATTATAAATGTTTGTGATTGCCGTCTGCGTTAACATCTTATTGTGCATCGTTTAAATGTCCATTATCTTGCTTATTTCATCCACCTCTTAATACGCGAATGAAATGTTATTTAAGCTCGATTAATATAAATTTTTAGGATACATTTGAAATTCAGACTGATGCTGTGCAAGGAAAAAAGAAAGCACTGATTGTTGACGATCTTATAGCGACCGGTGGTAAGATTTTTTAAGATTCTAAGAAAGAAAAAGGAAAGAGAAAAAAGCAATTTTACTCATTAATTTTGTATGTATTTAGGAACTATGTCGGCTGCAGAAAAACTTTTAAAAGAATTAGGAGTGGTAACAGTCGAATGTCTAGTCATAATAGAATTGACATCTTTTAAAGGACGCTCCAAACTTGAAGCTCCGCTACATTCCTTACTGCAATTTAATTGACTTACAAAATTAATTATCTCTTCTGCCAAATGGAATTTATTATTAAATAAATATGCGACCTTTGAAAATTTGTATATTTTTAATATTATATTATAATATATTATAAAAATATTTTTTTCAATATAATAATTATTTAACTATAAATACTCAATGAGACTAGATTAGGCTTTATTAACGCTATACGAAATTATCAGAGCACCTATATAATTTTCGATTTTGTCCTCGATGATTTATTATACAGTGTTGTAAGTAAATCTTGCACTTCAAATTCCAATCGATCTACTTGTTCCTGAAGTAATTTGCAATTTTTATATTTATTTTTTCGTTTATTTCTCTTAAAATCTGCTGTACAAATATACTCTTGACCGTCGCATTCTAAATTGGTCCATTTTGTCTTGTGTAAATATTGACAAGAATTCGAATCGTCCGTTTGTCTCTTTGCATATTCTAATAGCCTCTTATCGTCCAATACTTGATTCTCGTAGCACCTACGAATTTCTACGAAATATATGTATTTCATTATTTTTATAATTAATTGCAATATCCAAGCTTCAAGTTATCATTACAACGAGTACCATTTAACCTCATTTCCTGTATACTTTTCATAAAATTATCTTTTTCTATACGCAGTCGTTTCTCTTCCATAAGTTCAGCTGTGTTAAGTTGCAGTCCTCGTAACTGACGCTCTTTCTCCTTAAGATGCTTTAGATTCGCACCTCGCAATTCATCCGTTAAATATTTTGGAAATTCGAATTGGAGAAACGGCGGATACGGCCCTTCCTTTGCTAACACATTTATATCTTTCCTAAAACAAAATTAATTATATATCATATTAACTTGGCTGATAAATTTATCACTCGACTCAATTAACGTACTCTTCTGAAATTCTTACTTAAGATATCGGCGCGGATGGATTTCGTATGGTGTTTCGCAATCTAATTTATGAGCAACCTTTAATAAATTTTTAATGGAAACGTGTCCTTGAGTCTTGTAAAATTGTTGCAAATCATCGACGGTTTGTAACTTCGTAGTGATAGTTTTACGATAGATAATATTATATGCTACTGTGCACATCAGGAGGAACCATGGTTTGCAAAGCGAGAGTAAATGATCCCACATAATTAGCCAATCTTTCGTTCCGAGTACCTCGCTCATTGTACTTTGTAGCAAAGGCCATGCGTAATCACTAGATGTAATGCCTTTATTAGCGAAATAATTAAAAAGTAACGGATCCGCTTCTAACAATATATTTTCAATTATGCCTAGAACATTGAGAGGTGGCAAAGGATGATATTCAAACCATTTTTGACAATAATTTAAAATAATAAATACGGATGCTTCGAATCCAAGAATTGGAATAGTCTGTAAAAACATAAATTAATTAACTAAAAAGAATGACATTTAATATTGTGCATAAGCTTATAAATATCTCAGAAAGACGTTTGACTTTTCGTTATTTGTTGCTGATTTATTCATAAATTCATAGCTTAGCGTATCGTAAGCTAATTTACCTTAAAGACATTTACAAAAGGTGCGATTAATTTTGGTAGGAAAGAGCATTTTTCAAGAATTGGACACCAGTGAAGTAAGCAACTTAGTGTTATGCTCACCGGTGTATTTCTAGTTTTATCGGTTGAAATATCAATCTTTAATATGTCAAATATTGCTTCGTGCGGCGCTTTATTTGAAAAATTATTATAGGCTTTCTTGTTACTGGGTAATTCCATGATTGTTGTCCAAATCAATCTCCGATGCTTTTCAGGATACTCGCCAAATTCTTTTAATATTGGCATTAGCCGCTGCAACTTCAATTCCTCTTTTATGGCATGGTGCACATATTTTAAATTATCCTCCGTTTGATGGGAAACAGATTTTTTTTGTTCCCTTTTTATTCTAAGCCTGGGATTAAAATGTAAATGTAGAATTTTATTTAAAACTATAATTTCCAAATGTCCTTCTTTACTTATGTAAGCCATGTAATGCCCTCTATGCGAAACTAGAATTTTCTTTATTCCTGTCAGTGATTCACAACAACTGTCAATAATATCAGATGTAACTAAATTTACAAATTTCAAAGTACAATCCGTCGTGAGGACTGCTACAATCGAATTTGCCCCACCATCCAATGGTAACGAAATCACTGAAAATTGCCTTACACCCGTAAAACAATCTGTACTTTTTAACAGGTCGTAATTTGTAGTATTAAATACTAAAATTTTATTCTGCACTCCACATACAATCATTGCTCTCCCATCTTTCGTAAACTGAAGATCCTTAATATTTTTCAAACCATACTTTCGAGCATTAATTTTATTATCTTTATCAAATTGTTGAAACATCCACGATTGTATCAAATTATTCTCATATAAAATAGCTACATGACCTAAATTTGAAAATATGGCTTTCTTGATAACTATACTCTTTACGTTCAGAAGCAATTGATAAACCTTGCAGTACGACTGGATTTGCCATATAATCACTTCTTTACTCGACGCTGTCATACAATAATCTTTGTAAAATGATATATTTATAATTGGCGCCGAATGACCGGCTAACAAGCAAAAATTACTAATATCATTTATTCTTAAAACCTTAATACTCGTTGAATTTAAGCCAATAAAAAGTTCATTTCTATCCGTAGGGTTGAACATTAGACTGGTACTCGGACCTACAGAGCCCAATACTCGATAAGCTGGGGTACTGGACAGATCGATACAGTAAGCAATACCATTGCTATCTATTGTAACGAGTAGTTCATCGTCGGCATTAAAAGCACACAGAGCAAAACTAACTGTCGTTGGGCAGTGATAATTGCCATGATTTGATTTAATTTTAAGATTATAATGATTCGAGCAACAGCCTTTCACCAAATCCGTCCACTTCTCTTGAATCATCTTCGACAATAAAGCAACCACTGGCTTACGTAAATCACAAAGTCTCGAAGTGAGTAAATAAAATTATATGCTTTCTCATTATTGTCGCCCAATGGCACATTATAACTTATTACAATGACAAACCAGTCTGTTTATAAAGACGTCGTCGATAAGGATATTTGAATGTGGGAGAAGGAACTTTTACTCTGACTATCGCGGCGATGCCATTTTCTTTACGCGAAACCGTTACTCATACACCCAACTCCCTGCCCCGAGTACTCAAAAAGCTGAAGTCGTTTGACTTTATTGGCAACGCTGCGAGAGTAACGGAGATGGCCAATAAGAACGTAGACACCGATGGATCGTTTTGATTTGTCCAGACTACGATTGAATACACTGTCCAGACACTCCAAGAGTCCAGACTTCCAGCCCTTTCAGCTGCTTCAAAAGAAAATCATGACAATTATGCGATATTGGTGAAATGTTTTGTTTCGTCCTATTAAGACAATAGAATTATCTAGTTCAGTTTATACTTTGGTCATCTATTAACTTCTCCATTGAGTTTGAATTTCATAGAGATTCATCGAGTCTTTCGACTCTTCGACAATGGTAAATAAAAATTTCTAATTTACGTATTTATATTTTTATGGTTTTAGGTTAAATACTAATATATATAATATATATATATATATATATATATATATATATATATATATATATATATATATTTTATTTTTTTAGGATAAATATATATATATAAAATATATATATATATATATATATATATATATATATATATATATATATTGATCTTTAATTCTTTAATCTTGTCTAACGTACAAAGACGTTTTCGTGATCAACCGTTTACGATATCTATTCGCTTTGCAAATAAAACGTTCGGATAAAGTGACTTGTTTAAACTTAACCTACAAGATGCTTAAATACTTTGACATAATATCGTGAGGTTTTTAACGCCTAACGTATTATATTTAACAAATTTATCATAATTAATAAATGCAGATATTTTAATTATCCGATTGTGTTAAAATGCCTAATTTCTATGTGTCTTTCTAGTCTGTAGCAGAGTTTCTTAATGGATTACCTTCAATTGACGAGAACAATTTTGCTAACTTTCACACCGATAATGGAAACAGAACCTGTGTCAAAAGACCATCCGTTTACCTTCCAACAAAGGACTACCCTTCGGAACAAGGTGAAAAATTATTGTAAAATATTGATAATAAAATATTATTTGTTATTTCTTGAGAATCTTATTCGATAATAATACTAGCTAATTCGCTATTGACGTTAAATTCGTTTCAGCTCATTGTACTGTTGGCGAAATTTCATAACTTTTAAACATTATAATAACGCACTTTTCGCATTAATTAAAAGAGTCTATCGTGTTAAAATTATATTATGACTAATATGAAAAAATATACAAGCTATAATAAAAAAAAAAAAAAAAAATCATTAAAAATGAAATTAATTTTACCACCGTATAGTTAAGACTAATTAATAAATCTAAAATAAATATATATATATATATTCTATATAATCATTTATTAACGATAAAATTTACTAAAATTATATTATCTTTTCAGTTATTGTAACAGAAAAAACAACGATAGTTTTGAGGTACCTGCATCAACGATGGGACAAAAAAGTAATTTACTAATGACATTTAATTTATAAAATTTTATGTATATCTACCAAATTTCCTTTTTCCCAACGGCTAATGTTTTATAATAATTTTAGACTACGGAGAGAAAACGAGAATTACTATCAGTTAATGGAGATTCACCGGAAGAAGTTCGTAGTAAAAGACCTCGATTGGATCTTAACAATTCATTATAAGTAATTTTAGTCATTTCTATCATATTTAAGAGATTGGATACAACGGATCCATAACGGACTTTCATTGTATAAAACATCTATTAACAAGAATTTGTATCCTTTGAAGGCATTTTTTTGGAATTTGTTTTTCCTTTACGTCACACAAATAATATTTTAATATAAATCACATTCATTAATAACTATATTAGTCCAATTCTAGAAAATTGCTTTCTTTATTTTGTACAATATTTAGGTTAAACTCCATTGTCACAATACTTATAATTAAATACAAAACTGAAGATATTCACGATTGAACTCGCACGGTTCATGTACATTATTATAATAAATAACTTAAATTTCATTAAATTTATTATGTATGTTAATGTATTAAGAAAAATAAGGTGATAAAAAAGTACTTTATTAAATTTGGGCTTATACTGCATCCTTTATTCATGAATTATTAGTAATTTAATGTAAAGAAAAAGAGCGATCAAGCTTTTTGAGCATTATTATTATTATTATATAAGTTCGTTTATTTCAGTCATTGTATTGTAGAGTCATTGTTAACATTTACAGATTTGATGTAGAATGAGAGGAACTCTTATTCCGCTTATTATAAGTAGTTACTTCAAAATTAGGATCAAATTTTGTCATAAGGCGATTATATATACATATATATACATATATATATATATATATATATGTGTGTGTGTGTGTGTGTGCGTGTGTGTGCGTGCGTGTGTTTGCGTGAGTGCGTGTGCGCGCGCGCACGAATGTATGTAGGTAGGTAGATATATCAATTTGGAGGAACGTATTATTAATATTTGTTATTTATTATTGTCTGAAACACAAAACATCATAAACTTCAATAAATGATTATAAATTTAATAATTAAGTATCCAGAATGGTGATGATGTTTACCTGTGTATTGTGGTTGGTGTCTCTTTTCTTTTACTTGTATTTTGTGACACAATGGCTGCTGCAAAAATGATTGAACTTTGATAATTTATTAATTTATAACAATTTTCGTGAATAAATGTGTATATTAATAAAACATTTGCCATACTTTTTATTATTCTTTTATTGTCGGATGGTCGTCTCATTTTGCTTACACATATGAAATCATTTATCAAGCGAGGCCCTTTTGATTCCTTTGCTTTTACAGGCTTGGAGAGCTTTTCATTTTTCATATTAAAAACGGCAGTTTGATAGACAACCTCTACGGGCTTCTTCGATCTAGAGTTTACAATTATCGTTATACATTATCGTTTTGTTAAATGTCGACGCGCTCATTGTATTACATATTAATCATCCTACCTCGTGTGTCCATTACTTTTCTCGGTATTATTACTTAAAGCCGCGCCTTTGTATTCCTGTTTCGCAGAATCGGATTTTGATGAAGCTTTTCTCCTTACTTGTACGCCCGACAAATTATCATCTCTTGTAAGCTTGGTGTCTTTGTAGCGTTTTATTGAATTATCCCGTGAATTATTTAAGCGAGGGCTTATTTTATTCGTGCGCTTAAATTCTGAATGCTCTATGAAATTATGTGAATTTTTGTCGCTCTTAGTACTGGATAATGTTGATATAGGTGTTGACGATCGCGTACTCTTCAATTTGTCAGATTTTATTTTATTGCACTTGTCGATTGATGATCCTTCGTTGTTAAAAGCGGTGACAATTTTCGAGGGAATTCTCCTATGCCTTCTGTCATACAAATTGCCAGATACTTTATCGCTTTGTGAATTTAACGAGCGCTTTTTCATCGACGTCTTCCCATTCGCAACTCTCTTATCTTTCACTGGCTTACTATTGATAACTTGGAAATTTTCATAAAGCGGCACATCGTCGCTTACAGCATCAAATATATTCTCATACGTTGGGGCCTCGATGCCGTTCGTAACAATTGCATTAAATTCATTAATATTATCACAGTAGTCTTTGGCTTCAAGATTAGAGCAGCTTGCATTTTGCGAATTGTCTTTGCCGTTTTCCCCAATCAAATGCTTAATTTCATTTCCGTCCTCGTGCACGTCAGCGCCTTGATTCTTCAATCGACACTTCAGCTGATTAACATTATTACGATCGCTCTCCACTCTCGCTAATGTTGGCTTGTGCGTCGTAACTATTTTCAGGAGAACTTGATTATTCGCCGAATCCTTGGATACGGCTTGACTCTTGCTCGACAGACTCTCGGATATCGCATCAATGTCTTTGTAGACGGCGTGATTGCTCGTTGGGAAAGCACCGCTGGATTTATCTAGAAAAAAAAAACAAAAAAAAAAAAAACAAAAAAAAAAAACAAAAAAAAAATAAACAAAAAAAACATCATTCGTAACAATAAGGCGACCCATTAAGACTACACGCGCTTATGATACAAAAGTTAATTTTAATCGAATAAGATTCATTGAATGTTTATCGGTGCGGATGATGTACAGCGGCTCATCGGCCATTCAATGCCACGTTATCGCGAATAAAGACGAAATATATTTTACAGATTTTTAACGAAGGGAATCCAATCAATGGCGGTGGGAGAAGAGTTTATTAAATGTTATTATATATTATAACGAACAATGGATAAGTTCTAATCGTATGGCACATTAAGAATAGTATTTTGAAATTTGATAGTTATGTACCAGTGCAATGAAATCAAATCAGTGAGCGAGATTGATACGAAAGATTAACTTCGATTGGTAATGTTTGGGGGGAAACGTTCGTAAATGCAAGTGCGTTTAAGATTGGGGCCCTGAATGTTTATAATCGATAACTAAACTGACGAGCCTTGATAATAAAATCGATTGGCTTTCCCAAATGAAAATCCGAAGCAAAAATAAGACTGTCCGGAACATGCAGCGGACAGCTTACTTAAGGAGAATAACAGAATGAATTCATCGTCATTGGCAAACCTTGCGAGCTAATCTGTACGAGATAATCTTACGTGCTAATTTTACGTGCTAATCGTACGAGCTAATCTTACGAGCTACGGCATGCGAAATTCGCGAATGAGCACGAGACGTAGCGAGTCGTGTAAAAACGGATCTTAGTAAAGCTTGGCAATAAGTTGGAGCTCGTTGGCCGTTAAGAGATGCGTTAAAGCATAAATAAACACGGCTCTAGTACCCGTAATCATTCGCGATCGGTCTAAGGGCCGACGACGATGCTGCTCGAGTCGATGATTGCCCATCCGCGGCTTGTGCTCGGACTTGAGCTGGAGGGACCAAAGCCTGGGGGAGGCCTCGCCGTCGGTCCTCTTGGTCTCGCTTAACGACAGCCCGTCCACGGGCTCGTCAACGTTGCTGCAGAGGCTGGAGAAGAGCCGCTTGAAGGAGACTGAGCCATCCTGGTGGACTTCGCGATCCCCCATCATCTGCTCGATACTCATGACCAGTCGCACCGACTTGAGATTCGAGAAGGGATTGCATTGCAAGACGCGCGAGTGTTGGCTTATGACGGCCGGCAAGCGTAGGGTTATCTTGGTGGTGCGACTTACGACGGCGTCCCCCTGCTCGTCGTCGTCGTCGTCGTCGTCGTCGTCGTCGTCGTCGTCGTCGTCGTCGTGATCGTCATCGTCTTCGTCATCGTCATCGTTGTCGTCGTGCTCGTCGTCGTCATCCCTGCCGATCGGACTCACATTCTTGTTAGAAGCGGCAAACTGCAGCTGAATCCTACGGCCGCTTATCCCTGCAATTACGTTTTCTGTTTCGCCGGATCCTGTTCAACAACCCGTCCTCACCCTCCAATCGCCCACCGTACAAATACTACTCATGCGAGCTGTTATGCTTATTGGCGCAGCGACACTGTACGAATGTAAGGTAACCAAGTTACCTTGGCAACGAACGATTCTCGTCCGCGCGACACTTGATTATGTACGCAATGTATAACTACGCTGGATGGTTATTGCGAAGGGACGGCTACACACTTAATATGCACGTTCGTATCTTTAGTCTTTGCTTGCCCTCGAGATCGTCTCTTTATTGTTTGTTTGTTTGTTTGTTTGTTTGTTTGTTTGTTTATTCGTTTGGATGGAAAGTTCAATCCAAGGAACGAATAGACCCTTAACCTTGACTCGATTGTATTACAAGTTAAGCTTACAGGGCTACATGCCGCGATTATCTTCAACCCAATCCTTAAATTGTATTTTCGTTCCTCGGAATTTATAGGGGCAATATGATAGGACGTGAGGAATAAATATGAATCGAAGTAGCAATGTAAGCTTAATTCTCATAGTAAAGTGTTCTTTTAGTTTAAGCCACAATCGTTATATTTTCTCGAGAATTCGCTTATGAGATTTATGATCAATTTATTTAACATTGTGGTGAAACTCTATTTTCCCAAGTTTATGTTGGGCCGATTGAGTGAGTATAATTACAATAAAACAAAAAGCAATTTTATCGTCGAATAATTTACCATTTATTACAATTTTTGCGTTGGAACTTTATATAATTTTCAAAGACATTGTCAGACAAATGAGTAAATGTACAATGGCAAATTATTCGACGATAAAATTTTTTAAACTACATAATGTTATCGACTCCGATCCAGCAATAATCGAACATTTATAATAATGTTATGTATAAACACCACACTTTAAACAAATTCACCAATTTCTCATGAAACGTGTGGAGTATTCCTTGTGAATTTCAAATATATGCAATTATATTTACGCTACATTATTCCTTCAAATACGTCATTTTTATCAAGATATGCTAATTCATCCCTTTAATTAATAGATTAACGATGAAATCAATAATTAACAAGAGCAAGAGAAACAATAAATTATGATTACACCTCCTGATAATTAAATACACTTTTAAAAAGCAATAAACGCGCACACGCGCACACACAAGCACGCGCGTTATGCGGGAATGTGTAGTTGTTCTTGTAAGTACGTGTGTAAACGATTTTAGCAATATACATTATGTATAAGAATCTTATAATGAAATCCTATTACTCGAATTAATGATCTTTAAATTGCATAATTCGATTTCATTTCTCATGTAACCATTATATTTGTTTATGACCTCGCAACCCAAAAAAAAAAACAAAAAAAAAAAACAAAACTTTTTAATCACGTATTAAGAAAAGAGAAACTACATTTTTCCATTCGTCGTCAATTATTAACGAATTCAATTACAATCGTTAAGCATAGATATTAAAAAAAAAAAAAAAAAAAAAAAAAAAAAAAAAAAAAAAAAAAAAAAAAAAATAGCTTCTCTTAAAATACAGTTAATTATTTTAAACATAAGTCAACATAGTTTACGCAAATAGCATTAGTGCTGTATAATTACGAAATGATGCTGATTAATAACAAATTGTTAGAAACTAAATTATAATCGTATTATAAATTATATACAGAGTGCTGCAACAATATTTCTCAAATTTATTAAGTTTCAATTACATTATAATGATAAGTGCTTAATTTGCCTCAAATATTGTCTTACTCTCGTCTATTTATATATACACATAAGCAGACCTTAAATGTGTAACAAATACTATAATAAAAATAGCCGAATATTGATTGTTTTACGATGAAATAATTATCCAACTACTACTAAATTGTTTTTTTTGTAATTTTTTGTAATTTTTTGTAATTTTTTGTAATTTAAAAATTTTTTTTTAAACACTACTTGCAAAGTCAGGATAGATAAAGCCTTTAAACGTAAATATAACGGCTGTGGTAGTGTAAGTGAATAATTGAGAAATATTGAAGGAGCTGTGTCGCTGATTGCTACGTAGAGATAAACAATACGAATCTGAATAGTAAATGTTATACCTTCGTTAACTTTTGGCACAGCATTGCTCTCATCGCCAAGGAAATTCACAGTCGTTGTATGCGTCCCCTTGTACTTATTATTATGATCGACGACCTTCTCCATATTCATGTCCGTGTACGAATCCTTGGCCGTGCATATGTCGCTACCCGAAACTAAACCATTCTCCCTTACTTTATCCGAGGAGTGCCACCTTTCCGTTTTCACTTCCGTCTCCGTCGGATTAAAGTTTTTCACGCTGTCCTCGATTATTGGATTCTCGCTCGAAATCGCGGACTTTTTATCATCCTGTAATAATTTCCCTCGACCTCCGAAAATATACTTCTCGTAAGAAGTATCGCCAAAATGCACCAGAGGCATGTTACTTTTCTGTTCAAAATACGAAATACTTATGGAATATACATATCATTAATCATCATATCGCAATTTATAATGAGACAAGGTCAATTATAAAGTAATGGGCTTAAGTTACGCCAGGCAGTAATGCACAACGATAAAACATGTGTTTCGAAAAATGTGTTGACGGTTCAAGACTTTATTGCATTATCATATTCGCTGGGCATAGCGATGCTATTGGTAAAGACTTTTCTTTCCCATTATTATTGAATATCGTCTGTGAGCTCATCAAAAATTCATCTCCATTTTTTTACGTAAAAGTCTCCTTTTTCTTTTGCATTATAGTAACGATATTGCATCGCGGAGAAATTTTATTTTCAAGATATTATCCGATCTTGAATGAGTCTGTCAATTTGAGCGACATAATCCTAGACGGACAAACATTTCCCATCGAAGATTTTACTTTATAATATGCAAATGGTTAAAAATAGTTAAAAATATTATCGAATATTAAAAATATTACACCCACTAATTCACACGCACAACATTCCCCCGTGTAAAATGGATGGAATTCAATTGCAAAACTTCGATACAACGACCGACAACGTACAATTATATGATAATCAATTCTTTACTATGGAAGCTTGAAGGTAAAACGTGTGAAATTGTTCGATTAAATTAACGTCAATTGAGAGGCCATTTTGCTTCAACGGCTCTTCCAGCCCAACGAATTAACGAAATTTCAAGGGGCAATATAATTGAGCACATCGATAGACGAATCTAGACGAATCTATTAGTCCCAGATCGAACACGAAAGGCTTCTTACGTTCGCCCAGCATCCATCATATCCCGCGAGACATTAAAATTCAGCGCGACTTATGCTTCGCAAATACGAAACGCTCGTCTTACCAACACATTGAATGAATTGTAATGAACGAATGATCGTATCGTAGCCGCGAATTATCGTACGTTCGCCCCCGCGACACGCGACACACGATCCAAACGCTTTGGATTCACGCGCCGTCCTCGGCGTATCGTCTTCCTCACCTGCGCGTTATTGCTCGAGGCGGTCCCGAGGCCTGCGTTCCTTCGTCGCCTCCTGAAATTATTCGTCGGCGGTGGCTTCCCGTCCGTCTCGACGATGTTCACCTTGCCCGAGTCGGCCGCGAAGTGTATCTCGGTCTTGCAGAACTCCACCCGCTTGACCGGCTTCGTCGCGGGTGGCACGGTGGCATCCTCGGTGGATCCGAGAGTCGTACCCTCGGCCCGCAGTCGTTGCTCGCCATCGTTGTCCAGCTTGATAGCCGTCACGTTGATACAACGCGGCGGCAAGTCCTCGCCGTCCTGGACGGGCGAGGCCGCGTTCCTCAGGTGCACGACCGTCTTGTTGTTGGCCTTGCGCGTCTCACTCGGTTCCGGTGCCACGCGCACTCGCTGACCCAGCTGCTGACCTGGCGAGTAAGGAGAGCGCCAATCGGCAGATTAGCCCCCGGATAAGGCGACACCGTTGCCAACCCATTCTGTCATTCGACCACCCCGAGCGACAAATTACTCTCCCCACTAATGTCGAATTACATTAATACGCCTACGCTTTCTTTCACCCCATCCCCATCACCCATCACTCATCACCCATCCCCACCCCCATCACTCCTAAACCAAAATAATGACGTTTGCGCGGCACGTTTGTACAAGCCCAATATTTCCAGTCTGCGCCTGTCTGTCGGATCACAGTTTATACACACCAACGATTAGCTTTAACTTCAATCTCATCTCAACCAATATTTATATACGAGATATTGCGTTGGAACGGCTTCTTAAAATCAGGACAATAGGAATGTCAGTCTCTCGATGCAGGTAGTAGGATTAGACTCGCGCGAGTAGCGTGCGCATTAAATCATTGCGACGAACAAAGGCTTTGTCCTCTTGTAAATATAGTAATTCGAGGCTTCCCATATAAAAAAAGTCTCGCTCGGCTCGACGAATAATTCGAGTTATAAAAATTTAATCGGACACGCGTGTTTTCATCTCCTTTATCCTTTTTTTCTTTCTTTCTTTCTTTCTTGTTCTTTTTTTTTTCTCTTTTTTTTTTTTTTTTTTTTTCTTTTCTTCTTCTTTTTTTCTTCTCTTTTTCATTCACTAAACACGAGCGGAATTAATTTATATAATTAACAATAGGCATTGCCAATTACGTAAGAAGAATGTTGGCTTAAGCCGGGAGCTGACCGCTGAATTTATCAGGAAATCAAGACAATAGACAGACGACAGGAATAATGTCGAGGCGCACCGTCTAATCGTACAACATAACACTCGTACCTCCGACCTAAGCCGAACATAAGCGAAAGAAAAATCATCCTATTCATCTCGCCCGAATTCATTCGTTCGCGGACGTAAGATTAATAATTGCTTTTTAATTGCGCGCTGCTAAGCCAACTTCAACGAGGTCACGGGCGTCGTCTCGCTCGACAAGCACACCGTCGGCCGTCCGTAATTCGCGAAGGAGACAGATCGGCCTCTGGCGGGCAATAAGCCCGACGACTCGCTACTCGCTCACCTGCGCCCTGAAGGGACATCTTGGCGATCAGCTGGTTGACCTTGGACGGATGATTGGGATCGTTCTTGACGAAGTCGTTGTCGGCGATGGAGGCGAAAGCCCTGCTCCCGGGGAGGCTGGGACTGGCTCGGGTGCGGCTCTCTGGGCAGCTGGAGCGCGGCCCGACCACCGCCTCCTCGAAGGTGCGCGCGCGCTCAGCGACGAGCTCGTTCCTGGGCCTGCGGGCTCGGCCATCCTCCGGCTGCTGGGCGATTTGCAGGGAGCGGCGGGTTCTGCAGTCGCGGGCAAAGAGCTCCTGGCCGTTGGGCTGGGCCGTCAGGTTCTCGCTCGAGTTGCTGCGGCGCTCGGTGAGGGCGCCCGGCTCATCCGTAACCGGGGCCTCGGTCGCCCAGCAGACGCCGCTGCTGCGTATCGCCTCGTCGTGGAGCTCGCGGCACAGGCAGGAGAGCCGCTCGAGGTCCGAGCTGTCGCGCTCGAGGCCCGGGCGCCAGAAACCCAGCCTGGACGTGGCCGCGAGTCCCGGTGACGTCTCCGAGCCGCAGCCTCGGCCGACCTAACGAGCGTTAATCGTATCATCGTTAAGCGACGCTGAATATCTCTCAACGTACCTCTTATCGCGCTAAAACCGCGCAACTACCGAGCGCTCGAGCTTAAAGGATCGCGCAATCTCGCGGGGGACTCTCGGGGCTGGTTCGTCGGGTGGAGAAATTTTTGACTTAGCGCTCTCACTTTGCCATTTGCATATCAAAGTGTCGACCATTGACCCTCGCGAACTATATAACATTATCTTTATCGGCCATTAAGCGCCTTTCTTTTGTACGGAGCGCTGGATGCTCGACTATTCCAGCCTCGGCGCTCATTCTCGAAAATATACGGATTCTCTTTTCACAATTTTTTCCCATTTTTAAGGATACTCTTGCGTAGCACAAGCTCGATAATAAAATTTTTTAAATTTACGATCACACTAATTAAGGGAACTGCATGTAAATTTCGCGTATGAGAATTTACGCCCAGAGCGAGTGTATCATTTATGTAAATACCCATGTACGCCGTGGTGAGAAAAGGGACCATAAAAGAAACATAATCGTAAAGAGTGACCGCCCCGTGAGTCTCTTATGGTGCTTCGCGTCCTTTTTCTTTCATTTATTTTCTCGTCTGCGCAACGGCAGATTCGCTTTTTAAGGGCCCAACTAAATTAACATTGACATCGTGTTAATGTTCTTTATATTTCGTGTTACGTCTACGAGTGGATGATGTTTAACTAAATGTTACGTCGAAGCTCGATCGGAACGAGCCCTAATTTATATGAATATATATATATATATATATATATATTTTT